TGGAACATTAGGTGATCAGCATACCACAAGGAAATATACCTGAGCACTATATATCATATGGAGTATGTTAGATTGTAACGAATAATCAAAATAGCTTAAAATTTTAGCTTCTGTTCACAATACTCATGCTCAGATAAACTTCCCAGCTGTTTTAGCATAGCGCTTTCCACCACACAAAGAAGGAAAATTAAACAGAAATGCAACCACTGTATTATATCCCAGTTAGCCTTCAGGATTTCTTTGTTCTTAACCAAATAGATGCTAAAGCTAGCTTGAAATTACCTTTATGACTTTTTACAGCTGAATTAAGGCAAGATCCAAATTCAGAAATAACAGAAGGATTTTTCTTCCTCATTAGTCTTACTAGCTTAACCACACCTACTGATAGGATGTCCAAGGAGTGCTTATCAACACATTTCTATGAAGGATTGATACAAAAATTCTTCACATCTTATTTAAAGAGGGCAGTTTTGGCTGAAGATGAGAATCAATCAGCTTTTCTTTTCTAAAGAGACTCCTTTTGAGAATCCTAGAGCTGGAAGGAAAATTATTCTACAGATTGGTCGTGTTTGAAAGTGGGAGATCCATGGCTTTTTCAGAAAGATCTGCTCTTAAAGGCTCAGTGGCAGAAACTAAATCTTCGAAGGAAATTATGGCTTTATTGTTATCACACCAGAGGTGGGTTGCTGCCGGTTCAGCATGGTTCGGCCGCGGAGCAGCTGAGAGCGAACCGGTATGGTGGCTCTTTTGGCCTGCCCGTCTGCCCATGCTCTATACCTTTTTTTGACGGCAAAAGGCAATTTTGCACACGGGCGCCTGTGCGAGTCCTGACAATCAGCTGGTTGTCGCAGGGGCGGTGGATTGTGCGTGCGCACGTGAACGGAATGTGTGTGCACAATCAGCAAACTGGTAGTGAAGTTAAGTGCAACCCACCACTGTATCACACTGGCCTCCAACTGCTATTGCAGTGTTTCTCAACCGTGGCAACTTGAAGATGTCCGGACTTTAACTCCCAGAATTCCCCAGCCAGCATTCGCTGACTGGGGAATTCTGGGAGTTGAAGTCCGGACATCTTCAAGTTGCCAAGGTTGAGAAACACTGTGCTATTGGCTGCTGGGGGAGAAGTTCAGCCCTTTTACCGAGCTAAGCTGAATGAAAAGAGAAGAATGTTCCATGCTTTATATCAAGAAGATGCTATTGTGGGATTCTCTCCTTTTGGGTTATCCCGTGTTTGGCCTTTTCAAGATGTTCAGATATTTATTTATTTACTTGCAATTTTTGCAAAAGAGTTGTTGGCTAAACATCTTCCTGTTGCAATGTTGGTTGTCGTATCTCTGACACCGTGACGAATAGAAGTTCATCGTTTCTAGCTAGAGTAATTCAGGCTCACTTTTTTTTAAAAATCCAGTGCAATTGGATAGACACCACTCACACTCTAAAACATACTGACATGTATAGAAAGATATGTGCTGAGCCATAATGCAATTTGTTTGGTTTTCTCCTATATGAATTGTGAGTTAGTCAATGTGCTGTGGTTAATTGGTGGCTAATAAGATAAAAATGCATATAGGACTCCCACACGGACCTACATTGATCTGAAGATTTGTACAGTCTGTGTTTGAATAATCAGTGGAGCCCCTAAGATTTGTTTGTAATGTACAAGCTCTACAGGTAAAAGGGGACATTATTAACTTTGTTCCCTATCCTTAAAACGTAGACCTTTCTACAGCAAGTCAATTCAACTTCTGGTGTGAGCTCAAATGTAAGGTATAGGAAGGCCTTCTTAATTTCAGGGACCCTAAACTCCAAACTGTTCTTCCCTTAATGATTCTTCTTCTTCTGTTTGATTTGTAGAATAAGCAACAATGAGGAAATCCCTTGCGACCAGTTGGATTTTACTTCTCCTTCTCCTGCTCCAGATGGAGCCCTCTCTTTCCAAGAAGAAGCCTAAACCTGGTGGTGGCTGGAATACTGGGGGCCAACGCCCACCTGGTTACCCCCAGCAACATCCTCCAAACAGACCTAATTATCCACAAGGTGGTTACCCTCAAGGTGGTTATCCTGGGCAAGGAGGAGGCTACGGAGGAGGCTACGGAGGTGGCTATGGGGGCGGCTATGGGGGCAGCCAATATGGAAAGCCCTGGAAGCCCAAATCACCCAAGATGAAGCATATGGCAGGAGCAGCTGTGGCCGGAGTTGCAGCAGGTGCATTGGGTGGTTACCTATTAGGCCGTAGCATGTCAAACGTGCCGTTTATGTTTAACAATCCTCAAGAGCAGCAGTGGTGGTATCAAAACCGCGACCGCTACTCCGACCAAGTTTACTACCCGAAGTATGACCAACCAGTTTCAAGGGACGTCTTCGTGAGAGACTGCACGAACGTCACCGTGACCCAGTACATGGAGCCCAGTGGGAACAGGACAGCAGATGAGATGGAGAGAAAGACAGTGACACAAGTGGTACACCAGATGTGCACTGAGCAATACAGGGTGATGTCAGGTGTCACTTTGCTGCTTGCCAACCCTTCTGTGCTTGTAATGGTTACACTGATTTTATGTTTCCTGATACACTGAGTTGTTTTCCTGAAGGTTCTCTCTTGTTGAGCTAGCAATGTGGAGAAGGGACCTCTAAAAAGCATACACCTGGTGGGAGAATACATTCTTGTGCATGCAATTTTTAGTGGGTGTGTTTAAGAGTTGTTCTATCTCTTAAGTATTCTTGAACATACTGGCTTCTTCTGAGCATACATGGTCCTTTCATAACCACCTGTGATTCTGTCTTTAGCTGCAAAACAGTTTTGGGTGGGGAAAGGAGGGACATAAGAACATTTTATAACAAACCCTGCCCATTCTCAAATATTGACCATTGAGTCTGCGCTTACACCCAATATAGTAACATACAGTACATAAGAATGGCCAAGTAATTCTTCGCCAGCTACTATTACTCTGCACCTTGCTAGAAAACTTTATTTTTATATTTAATGCAGCAGTCATTTTGCATTATCACAAAGTCTGTCTTTCCAAAGGACCAAGTGTATCTTCACAAGGGAAGGGTTTGCATTTTTAAAGGGCTTTGACAACCAGAGCTGATCTGTATTATAGCCTTGGAGCTCTTGAGTGACCCATCCACCATGACTGATTCACACATGGACATTTTGAAGGCTATTCCACATGTAAGAAAAAACATATTGCCTATGAAGCACAATTGCTGCAGATACACAGCATGTGATTAATCTTGCTGAAGGCAAGTAGTCTTGAAACAAAGATCCCGGCAGGCCTGGGGCTGTTGATCTTGATTGATCTTCAGCCCCATTACAACTGAGTGCATGTTGTGTTTTGTTTTTAAGTTGTTCTGTCTTGTGTTTTTAATCTTTTTTTAAAAAATATTTTTAAACAGCTTTTATGTAAGCCGCCCGGAGTCCTTCGGGATTGGGCGGCATACAAATCTATTAAAATTGACAAATTGACAAATCCCCTGGTGGAAATACTTTATTCAGAGCAAAAGAAAAAAGTCATTTTTGGAAAGTGAAGGAGCAGGTTGAAATAGTATTTCTGTTAAGAAATAAGAAATTTCTGAAATAATTTCCAGAAATCTAAAGCTATTGAAAATTGTTAATTGCCACAGTGGCACGTCAGAGTCCAAGGATATATGAAAAATTACCTTATAAGTAGACTAAGAATACACATATATTTTCCAAAGAGGACTTCAATTTCTCTCCTTTTAAATGATAATTGTTCTGATGCAAATGGGATAAGCTTATCAGAAAGCTAATATTAATGATTCAGCTAACATCAGGAGTAAGGTAGCATCCAATAGATCCTTGGACCACAAAATCACTAGGAATTTGAAGGTTTTAACCCTGGAGAACTTTGAAATTAACTTCCACTTCCAGCACCAAAGTCCCTTTCATTGGCTTCTTTAGAAAGTCAAAGAAATATTCACAAAGAAACTGAAATTTAGAATTGTCTCTGGAACAACTGCAGAACCTGACAGTGCTACTAATTCACAGAACATTTGTGTGCGTGGGAAAATTACTCAAGCCATCCACGCTGATGTCTCAGCTGGCCCCCAATACTTCTAGTTAGAACATAAAACACAGAAACATAGGGCAGGAAGGGATTATAAATCCAACCCCTTGCTCAAGGCAGGAAACCTTATACCATCCCAGTCAAAGGGTTGTCTGGTCTATTAAGCAAGGAGGAGTGATCCCCTTTGTCTTCAGCTACAGGCCAGAATAAGAAATTCATGGATGGTCTTCTAATGAACTTTGAGAGCAAGAACCTAATGTTGAGCTTGTGAACTGAGTTTGTGGAACCAGATCTGGCATACTGAGGCACTATATTAGAATGATTCTTTAAACAAGGTTGCTACAAATGCTTCACTCTTTCCACGCTTCGCTTTTGATTTCTTAATGTTTTATTTATTTCCTTGAGGTTTAGGATGCAAAAGCTGACGTGGCCTCCAAGAGTGTTACATTTTTTGACCATATATTTGTTAGCAGAGTTTGTGTTTGTTATTTCTCCATTGTATACAGCAAGGCTTAGAAATATTACTGCTAGAAACACAACAGCCACTGGAATTCAGCTCGTTTGAAGATCCTATAGTCATTTAATTTTAAGACCTTATTGAAAATTGTACTTTGGGCTGTAATAATTTTGTCTGTCCTAATGCTTTCAGCCTACGGTGGTTATAAAGGGTACTTTTTAAAAACTATGGTGTATTTCAATTGATTTGCTGATTGACACTGTGTTTGTACCAGATATAAAATTGTAAGTGCAGTAAAAATATAATGGGATATGCTCTTCATCTTGTGAGTACATCTGGTACATATGAATATTTTGCCAGGTGATTATTGTAAAGGCCAGCTTTAAATATTGTTGTTTTACTATAAGAGCAAAAAAACTAAATGGGGCGGGGAAATGTTCTATTTTGAAGTGACATATCAGTTGTCATCAGGATATTTTGTAACTCTGTAACTATGCATGGGCTTCATTTTGATTTGCATTTTTTAAAAACTTAAATGTTTGATATAAATTTAAAAATAAAATATGAGAAATGAAACATTTGGACTATGTTAAATTATTCCTAAAAATATAAGTACATATTGTTCTTATACATATACAAAAATAACCTTTCCCAAAATATCAAATGTCACAGAATAAAATCCAAGATTCTGGATCCAAATGGGTCCAGTTTTGTTATTAGTGGAATAAATTATTACTGTAACGTGCTCTACTTGGGGCTGCCCTTGAAAAGTGTTCGGAGACTGCAACTGGTCCAGAATGCAGCCGCGCGAGCGATACTGGGTGTGCCAAGGTACACCCACATCACACCTATCCTCCGCGAGCTGCTCTGGCTGCCCATTGGTCTCCGAACACGATTCAAGGTGCTGGTTATCATCTACTGCCAATTACTTCCACCCGACCTATTAGATCTCATTGATTAGGCCTCCTCCGAGTTCCATCTGCTGGTCAATGCCGACTGGCAACCACGCGGANGTCAAAATGTATAATTATTAGAAATATATAAGTTGATTGAATGTAATAACTATGATTAATTAGTTTTATTTTTATTAGAATGTATGACACCCAGTTACCACACTGTTCATGCATATAGTATAGATACAGTATATATAACTCTTTGCTGATCTAGTTTATTTGACAGTTTTTCAGAGAATAGACTGTTCCTAACTTTCTTCAACCTTTGGGATTTTAAAGATCCAAGGATTTCCAGCGCGGAAATATCTCCATATGAGCAGCCATGAACAAAAGCCTAATTAAATCTTTCAGCATTAAACTGTAAATCTTCAAAAATGAATAATAAAATGAACGTCCAACCAAATTTTTTATCTTTTGAACTCAAAAGCTGTATGTGGAATAAATTCTTAGAATTAGATAACTGAATATTGTCACCATATGCATAGTGGAGTTAAATAACGTTCCCAATGTCACAACTTGTATAGTAGTAGGTTTCTAGAAATGCAGGTGGCCCTCGGCTTACAATAGTTTGTTTAGTGGCCACTTGAAGTTAATGGCACTGAAAGTGGTGACTTATGGCCATTTTTCACACATACGACCATTGAAGCATCCCCATGGTCACCTGATCAAAATTCAGACGCTTGGCAACTGATTCATATTTATGATGGTTGCAGTGTCCAGGACATACGTGATCCATAATTTGATGACCATTTTTCACACTTACAACCATTGCAGCATCCCCATGGTCACCTGATCAAAATTCAGACGCTTGGCACCTGATTCATATTTATGACAGTTGTAGGGTCCAGGACATACGTGATCCATATTTAATGACTTTCTGACTGGCAATGTCAATGGGAAGCCATGTTCCTAATTTAACAATGACAGTTGTTTTGTTTATTTAAAAACCGTGGCGATAAAAGCCATAAAATGGGCCAAAGTTCACTTAACAACGGTCTTATTTAGCAACAGAAATATTGGGTTTAATTGTGGTTGTAAGTTGAGGATCACCTGTACAGTGGCCAAAGCTGTATGCCGTTATGGACACAAATGTTGGAAGCAAAGGTTTTGGTTTTTTTTACTTTTGAAAGAGGAAAATTTGAATAGGGAAATCAACATTTATTTCCATAGCAATTGAAAACAACAGTTCGAATAACTAAGTTTGACAAAGTGTGTTGATGTCTAAATTTTTATGTATATTCTTCTTGTGAACTTGTTGACTTCAGTGATTATTCTCTTCCACCTCCTAAGTCAGTGATGGCTAACGTTTTTGTTGTTGCCTGCTGAAAGCACACCTATACCCATAATGCAATGCCTACGAAACACACACACACACACACACACACACACACACACACACACACACACACACACACACACACA